AACAACATAGGACTTTGAGACTCTATAGGGGTTACAGTAAGAGCTGAGAGTGACACACTCTTTTTCTGACAATTAAGTACAGCTCCATTTGCAGACAACCAATCCATCCTCACAATAACATCAATCCCAGACAAAGACAAACAAATGAGGTCTATGGTGGTCTTTCGACCCTCATACTCAACCTCTACATTTAGACATGCCTTAGCAGTCCTTACAGTCAAACCAGCAGGAGTAGAAATCTTCACATCAAAAAGTAAGGTACACACAGGCAATTTACATCTTTTCATACATTCATCAGACACAAAAGAGTTTGTAGCACCCGAATCAAACAAAGCACAAATATCATTATCAAGGATTCGGATTATACCTCGGATAGCATTAGGGTTATTAGTAGCCTCCGGCCCAGAGAGGGCATACACTCGTGCTGGCACTGTAGGTCTCTGATCATTACCCCTATTTTGGTTTTGATAGCAGAATCGAGCAATATGACCAGGCTTCTGACAGATGTAACAAACCCAACAATCACCAGAATGAAACTTCCCACACTTATTGCATGCTTGATTACTAGCAGCACTAGGAGTAGGATTAAAGGTAGCTGGGCTCCTATAGGACCCTTGACTTCCACTTTGATTACCTCTGTAGCTCTGGCCCTTATGATAGTAGCCCTTCTTCTTCTGATTTCTAAAGCCTCCAAAGATTTGACTGCTCCTCTTCTCTACTCCACCAATGGGTCTGGTGTAGATAGGGGGCTTCCCATGAGGTTCTTTCCTCCTCTCTTTATCAGCTTCTAATCTAGCCTCTCTCTTCCTCCGAGAAACTATTCGAAGCTTATTGCACATCTCACTGAATGTCTTAATCTCAAAAGGGGCTAACTGTTCCCTTAGATCAGGCCTCGCCTTCTCTAACAATCGTTCAGCCATCCACTCCGTGTCTTCATGTTTTTGGAGGTAAGTGGAGTATTTAGATAATTTTGAGAATTGTTCAATAAATTCATCCTCATCTAGATCACCCTGACGAAATGCATGAAACTCAGCCTCCTTTTCTGCTCTCAGTGCAGTAGGAAAATAATTCTCGAACAATATGGCTTTAAAATCTTCCTAAGTAAGAGAGGAATCATCCTTCGGTCCTGATGTTTCCCACCATTTCTTAGCACTCTTCTGTAGTAGGAATATTGCCAGCTGCACCTTTTGATTAGAAGTGCACACAACCATATAAAAAATACTCTCCAATTGATCTATCCATTCTTCAACCACCGCTGGCTTAAGATTTCCATCGAAAGTAGGAGGATTAAACTTACGAAAAGTACTCCAGATCTTTGTGATCATGGATGTCTGTTGCTCAGAGTGAAGACTCACATTCTTCGGACTAGTCTCATGGTGAGAATAAGGAGGTAAGCCTTCATCAGCAGATTGGCTCGCATTGAATACCTTGGTATGGCTTCCTTCTTGTTGGCCATTTCCCTCTCGGTTGTCATTCTCCTTATATTGTCTTAAAGCGGCCAACTCTTCTTCTTGTCTCTTCATGCGGTCACTAAGATTATATGGTAGATCCATCATTTGCCTCATGGTTGGCTCATCCTGCCTTAGTTGTGACTGTATGGGCTCGCCCTGCCCGATTTGTTGCTGTGTGGGCTCCGATTGTGGCAGTGAAGGTATGTCATTTCCTATTGGCTCTATAGAATCACCGATAATTTCGCCACCTCTCCTAGTTTTAGACACCATCTCTCCCCTCCTAAAGGATGGAAGTCACATAATTAAGTTAACATTAATCTCAAGACAAGAAAAATAATGGAGAAGCATTATGATTTAATAATGTATATTGCCAATAAACTAGGTTAATGTATAATAATTTCATAATTTATAAGAATTTGAAACATGTAGCTCTAATATCAAAATTTGTAACACACCAAAATTTTTTTTTTAAATAATTTAACTCAACCATAGTTGGGTTACAGCCACCCAACACATTTTTATATCAATAATTTCGATATAAAATATTTTATAATTGGCTTCAACTCACACACTATAACATTTCAGATAAATTTTTACCTCCCACATGCCATTAGGCTAAATCACATTTGTCCATCCTTATACTCCCAACAAGTAAACTAAATCACATTTGTCCATCCTTATACTCCCAACAAGTAAAATAAGCAATTTAGTCAATTTTCAACACAAGCCAGTTATTTGGCCTTATAATCATGCCTTTCAAACTATTTCTATTTTTAGTACAATTTGGATGACTGTAATTTTAATATTTGGTTTACTTTGAAATTATGTTATATTTTTAATTCTATTATTAGAATTATTTTATTAGTTTCAAAAATTGAAACTAATATTTATAAATAATATGTTATTTGTAGATTGTATTACTGGTGAAGATTGTGGTGAGAGAGAAATTTTAAGGAATAATTTATTAAAAAAGCCACAAGGTAACCATGCTTTTAATTTATGATTAGTGTTACTTCATGTTAATTGGGTGATTATTGAGAAAATTATAAATTTTGTAATATTATATAATTGTGCAATATTATTATAAATTTATTTGATTATTGTGGGAGGTGTTGGGAGACTTGCTATTGTTGTTGTATTTATGTGCCACGTGGTACGCCCCTATTGGAGCTCAATAGGTGGTTTGTAAGGGCTCGGGCTAATCTACCTTTGGCCGGGTAATTTAGCACCGAGTGAGGGCTACGGCTCAAGGTTAATGGAGAGATATAAGGATGGTTGTTTGTGTGTATTGTAATATTTTATATATTTCTTGGAATTATATTATTTTTAATTCTCACTTAATAAGCACACACTTAACTGTTTGTATACACTATTATAAATTGGCTTTGGTTACTGGGACTTTTGAGTCTCATTATGTGGTTAACAATTTTCAGGAGAAGAGCCACGAGTGACACGTGGAGGAGTCCCAGAGGCTTAGTGGTATAAATCCACTGTCTCTTTTGGGTATTTAATTTATGATTTATAATGTGTTATATTGCCAATATTATGGCTTTTTGTTTATTGTCAATTATATGAATATATAAATGTAATCTTGCCTTTCAAACTATTTCTATTTTTGGTACAATTTGGATGACTGTAATTTTAATATTTGGTTTACTTTGGATTGGTTAAAATGGCATGATTATAAGGCCAAATAACTGGCTTGTGTTGAAAATTGACTAAATTGCTTATTTTACTTGTTGGGAGTATAAGGATGGACAAATGTGATTTAGTTTACTTGTTGGGAGTATAAGGATGGACAAATGTGATTTAGTCTAATGGCATGTGAGAGGTAAAAATTTATCTGAAATGTTATAGTGTGTGAGTTGAAGCCAATTATAAAATATTTTATATCAAAATTATTGATATAAAAATGTGTTGGGTGGCTGTAACTTAACTATAGTTGAGTTAAATTATTTAAAAAAAAAATTTTGGTGTGTTACAGTAATCCTTAACAAAGTTTGTGAATAATAATTCTCATAATTTTTTCATTAAACATAAAATGAAAGAAAAATAAAATGACATTAATACTTTAAGAGCATGTATATTATCTTGTTAAAAATAAATAGATTCTATAATAACTATATTTTCAAACGACTGAAATAGTTGCTCTATATATATGTAAAATATTACATATATAGTTGAAATGAAAATTTCATTTAGTATTTCATAACTTCTATAATGTGCCAACTTATAGGAGCTGAAAATATATAACCCCTATATTTTACTAAGAAAAAATTTAAAAGTTGGGGGAAGGGTTGTGGCCCCTTCCGATCCCCCCTCTCTCTGCCCTTGATTGTCGGCCCTTGTACCTTTTAAGAATTAAGATACAGTTCTCAAATTATAAGATAATTTGAGATAATATTACATATATTAATAAATATTAATAATGATACTTTATAAATTAATTTTTTAAAATAAATTTATAAACTTTTAAAGATATGCCTACACATTTAATCATTATTATACTACAATATTATTTCAATTTTTTTTCTACTTAAAGAGTAATATTGAAAAAGTATTATCAAAAATTTATTTTTTACTTTATTTTATATTTTCGGAAAACAAAATGCGTTTAAAATTCTTTTATAATTTGTGAGGAAGGAGTAGTTAAGATGCATTTATATATATATATATATATATATATATAGTTAAGATGGGTTATTGAATCGTTATTCTGGTTTTTTATTGGGCTTAGTCAGCATAAGGCCCAAGTTTTAAAGGCCAGTTGTAATGCCAGAGTCCGCTTTTGACTTCTGTTCTTCATGCATGCATGGATGTATGCATTGGTTTCTTCTTGTCACAGGGGTCATAGTCATGGGGTGCTAATAGAATTAGAGACAAGACAAATCAGGAATCAGCAATCATAAAAAAAAAAAAAATGAAAAGCTATCTTTTTAATTGCATTTAATCATTTATTTGTATTAAAAAAAGATTCGTCATTCTTCCCCATTAACAGCTGATTGTGGAAGGTGAATTGGTGATATATTCCGTCCCCCAACCATCCAAAAAATAAATAAATAAATAAAGCTTGTGCTTACATGACAATTAATTATTTCGACGTCTTAACTTGGATTTTTTTTTTTTCCCTGCATTTATTTTCTGACAACATGGCCAATGAAACTTTTCACTTGAAAGATATCGCCGATCCACCAAGAAAAGGCGGTGATGGCTGGGAAAACCTCGTATTTGGGGTCCGCCTTCCTTGGAAGGGGTCAGCAGCCATTCGAGTGATGATTGATGACTTGTCTCGTAGTATTATAATTTATAAATGATATGGAGTTTTTTATGCCTATGATACGAGGCCGACATCATTGCCAAATCCTCCACCCAAAACCCTCCAAATAAAATAAAATTCAACACTATGCAACTCATTTCCCTCTCTTACGATTTTTCGGTTGTTCTGGCTGGCCATGAATTCGTGCGTCTAACTTCTGATGCAGTGGCAGGTCGGAGATGTTGAAAGCTTACTGATATTTACAAAACAATTCGACATGAAAAGGGATCGTCTCACATATCAACGTAGCTCTGCAACAAAGGAGTCTTGCAATTCGGTTGGGATTGTGAGCTGCCTGACTCGCACTGCTCTTTCAACTCTTCTTCCCCTTTCGCTTTCCCCCATATCACACCATAAAACCCCACCGACAGTATTGCCGCTCCAATAGCGCTGCAACATTTGAAACATGCCAGATTATAGGATATTATGACAAATGAAGCATATACGTGTCTTGTTTATAACTTCTTTCTGATTCTAATTTTCCGTTTTTGACGGAAAGGAAAGAAAACTTGACAACGAAGAAAGAGAATCAATTTCATGCCTGCCTAGATGCAGAACATCGCCCAGGAAAATGACACTCATAGCAGCTGCCATGGCGATGGAAAGGGGCTTGAACGTTGACACATACACTGGGCCTTTCAGATGGAGACCCCATGTTTCAATCAGACGGCTTAAGCATGTGCATAAGAATCCCTGCAGGATGAAAATGAAAATCAAACTGTCAGTAGTGTTTGTTGTTATTTGCTCCTCCTCTCATCTCATAGCCCATACTTTATCCATGCAAGTAAATACTTAATTTCTTGCTGAGTAAATAATGGAGAGCAGTGTTATGTCAGGCTTTATCTTCCAAGCACTCAGGTCTGGTTCTGCTATTAAACAGACTGGTGCAGATATAATAGTCCCGCACAGGTTGTATAAAAACACCACTATCAGCTTTGCCGGATATTCGTTGATAACATGGGTCTGTCAAAAGGTCAATGAAATCAACTCAACTAGTAGAAAATTCCCCTGACATTGGTTCGAAATCTCATGCACTAGAAGTTAGAAGCTTCTAAAATTTGCAGAATTGAAAAAAAGCGTGTTTACCTGAACAATATACCAGATTGGAACCAGAAGACACTCAACAAGAAGCAGGAAGCCACCGAGAACCCATTTCGTTTGTGTTGATGCAGAATTCAGTTGAGAGCTTGTTGGATGAGTTGGTGATGGAGAAGATGCTGACTTGAGTGGAGGACCCCTGAAGAGAACAACTACGAGTGCACCGACTATGGATACTACTGTACCTATGATTTTGGCCTGAGTGCTTGAACTTCGTAACTCTACCTTTTCCATCCTTCATACAAGGACACATAAAAGTTATCACGCTGCAAAAGTCTCAGACGCAACAATTGTCAAAATTAAAAAAAAAATTCTGGAATTAGGAGTATCACCTGCAGAAGATGGCGAGTATGAAGGTAAAAGCAGGGGTGAGGTTGCTCATAGCAGCAGAAAGAGTAGGTGAACTGTATTCAATTGCTTTGGCTCCGCAGAGGCGAGCTCCAAGGCTGTCCCTCAGAGACATCAAGAAATAAACAAATAATTGATGCTCAACAGATGCATGAAAACTTCATAACATTATGGGGACGATCGTGTCTTACCCGATCAGTCTGGGAAGGAAAATCCAGAAAAGCAGAGACGACTTGAATGGAGGAAGCCCAGTTGACCTTCATGCATCGAGATACAACGGATGAATAGAAAAGACATAAAGGAGAAGAGAGAGGGAGGGAGAGTACCGGCGGAGGATGAAGGGCAGAGGTAGAAGAAGAACCAGAGTAGAAATTGCAGAAGCATAGATGGTGAAGACGTAGTAATTGACGCCATTGAAAGTGGCTGCTTTGAACAGAATGCTAGCACCAACGTTAATGCACTCTATAGCAATCAATGCGCATAGTGGGACAACATCCTTGTAGAAGTACATCCTCGCCACTTCTGTCTCTTCCCCTTTCCCCGTTCCTCCTCAATCCTCCCTCAGTTTCTCTCTTTGCCTGTCTGTTCTTTTCACTGTTTTTAGTTCCATTTGCCTTTTGACGACGCCTTGTTGACCACCAAAGGGTTTGGGCATCTCAGGGTCATGATTTTTTTTTGGGGGTCTGAATCTCAGGGTCATGATCGAACGGCAACGATGATAATGACAATAATCATAAATATAAAAATAGGAATTCAAATAATAAAATGAGATATAAAACGGAATATATATGCCCGCACAAACCCACATAAAGAGTGTAAGGAAATCAAGTAAAGCCTTGGGACTGTTTAAAAGAAGTTTAAAAAAAAAAATTAATTTTTTAGTTCTTTAATTTTTAACTCGCTTATAATTCAATTTTTCAACTATAACTCACTGCAACTCAGTCCCTCAACTATAACTCGTTGCGACTCAATCCCTCAACTTTTAAGTCACTCACAATTTAGTCCTTATTTTTTAATTTTTTTTTAAAAATTTCTTATCAAATAAAAATGATAAAAAAATGCTCATATATTGGTCTAAAATACTTTTCTCTTGCTCTTTGATGTGAGATTTAAGCTAACATGAAAAAAAAATTAACAAAAATTGAGGGACTAAATTATAAGTGAGTTAAATGTTAAGAGACTAAATTATAGACGGGTCATAGTTGAGGGACTGAGTCACAGTGACTTATAGTTAAGGGACTGAGTTACAAATGAATTAAAAGTTAGAGGATTAAAAAATTAATTTTTTCAAGTTTTTTTTAATCAATATCGCATTTCATAATGAAACAATATGCGAGCTTAATCATACCACGAGGGATAATGTCAAAATGACTTATTTCACCCCACCTTTTATTTCTCATGGTTAATATTCAGTAGTGGCTAGACTATTTGGAAAGTAAGAAACAAACACATGACTAGCCAAGACCCCTTGAATGACAACCAGAGAGGGTGGAGTTGATTGGCATCATGGATGGGGGATTAGAAAATCAAGAACAGTTTTTCAAAGTGGAACAAGAAGGATTAGCTGGTATGTTCATCAAGGGGAATGACGTTGTGATAGTTCGCAAGTGCTAATGACTTTTTGATGATTTTAGAAGCTATAGCTTGGAATTGTAGACGGCTAAAGACTTTCCCTAACAAAATCAAGTGTTTGTCATCTATTGCATAATCATAAGGTAGATATGTTGGCACTATTTGAAACTCGAGTTAGTGGAAGTAAGGCTGATACAATTGGTAGGAAATTGGTTTTCTCCAATTAGTTATGAGTTGAAGCTACGAGTATTTCAAGTGGGATTTAGTTGCTTTGGAATGATGATACTATTACCATTGACTATACTTTTTTCAACACCTAACTACTTCACGTTAGAGCTAATAAAATGGGAAACAATGCTCCTTTTTGGGTCACTTGTGTCTATACAAAAATGAACTGTAACATCCATAAATGTCTTTGGAGTAGTCTAGAGTTACTAGGGATGGCTATTTTTGAACCTTGGCTAGTAATGAGAGATTTCAATGCTTATTTAACTACGGCAGACAAGTATGGTGGAGCTGCTCCAAATAATATGTCAATGAAACATTTCAACGATGGGATACATAAGGTTAATCTCTTAGAGATGGACACAATAGGTGACAGAATTATATAGGAAAATAACAATGTGAAGGAGAAGATTGATTGGGTGTTTGCTAATCAAGACTGGAGTTCCTCTTTCTCTAAAATGAAGGCATGCCATTTGGGTAAATTTGGATCTAATCATTATCTTATTTATATTAGAAGCTCAACTAAGACAAATCACTATTGAGGATAGCGCTTGTTTAGATGTCAAGCGGTGTGGTTTCTTGAAGAGGGTTTTGTTGATGTGATATGTAAAGGGCGTCCTAAATTAGGACTTAATCATCACACTAACCATGGTTAATCAAGAACTAACCCAAATGGATTATCCATTACGAGATTAACCTAAATGAATTCTTAATATGTATTTTTTTAACAAACTATTTAGTACAAGGGATCCCAAGTTTTTAAAATATTTTAAGAACTTATATCATTTAATTAAACATATGCGGAAGCATGATAATAACTATTTTTACCTACATAAATATTTTGGCCTGTAATTATAGCACAAGCATCAAATCACATTCCTCAGGGTCCAAAATACATTTTTCCTAACACAAAACCCATAATGCAAGTGGATTAAGAATATATTATCCTAGATGGCAATATCATAAACTAAATACACATATTAAATAAAAGGAGAGAGGCCTACAGAAGTGATTATTATCACTTGGCCTAATACTCCTTTCCTCTGTTCTTCTCAGATGAGCTAGCTCCTGTAATATGTTAAAAGAGAGGAGTGAGTACAACCACTCAGTAACTAAGGTGTATCTAAGTTATAAAAATGCATGATAATTAATCATGAATGCAAGTGACTAATAAATTTATCAAGGTGACCATTCAAACAATCACATTAATAACATGTTAATCACATTAACATTTAACTCATGTGAATAATTTCAAGAATAAAGTTAAGTATAAAATTTGCTCAAATAGCCACATATACATTATTCACATAATTACTACATGTTCTCATTTCTACAATTATAATCATATTCTCAACATAGCCATCAATCACTCAAATGGCATGATAATAATAATATGCATGATCAATCTCTTCCTTATATCCCCCCTTATTTCCTCTGACATGAAATCCGTGGACCAACAACCGGAAGGGATCATCCATGTGGTGAGACTACCCAAAGCCTTAATCATATCATGAGGGGCTACCGGGCCAGGGTTACCTTACTCACTTATGAACACGGTTTCCCCCAAATCACACACTATGGGGTGTCATACCCAAAACTAGCTCTCCCCAAAACTGCAGGTAGGCCAGTAGGGTCAAGTCCCTTAATAGAAACAATGCTACAGTACCTTACAAGGTAAGTAGCGGCTATAACCCTTAGGATTATCGGTCAATAGCCAAGTACCATATGAATTTTGTATAATTGCTAACTCATTCACTAAGGCGAACTCCCGCCATATGATCATACTAATAAAAAAATACATTTTAAAAATTCATATATATAATTCATAATTTATAGTCAAGATTGTGCACATCATCATCAACATCAATCTCATTACTTATACCAAGTCACAATTAACTTGGTCACAAATCATAAGGTCTCAACAAAACCACATGCATTACAAACAACTATTTCAAATTTAAATATATATATATATATATACATATATATTCTTTTGTTTCACCAACATAATTAATTAATTAATATACAAATGCATAAAATAGATTTCCCCCGGTTACCTCAACCTTTGAGAGGTCAAAGGTTACCCCTCAAGTTACAACACTTTCAAAGCTTTCCAAAGCTTGAATGGTGTCAAAAGAAAATTAATCTAAAATTGATCATATCCCAATGTGTCAATAATATTATCAACATAATTTTCACTCATACTCTAACACCTAAGTATTTATTTTATTTTATTTTATATTTATTTATTTATTTATTTTAAGAAATTAGTCTTAGTCTCTTGAATTCTAAAATTTAATTTCATGTATTTGAACCTATCTACTTGGTTCAATAGTCTCCTTCACAATAATTTCATTCAAATATTTTTCTAATATCAAAATTTCTCTTTTTATTCCACAAATTCGCACATAAAAATACTTAAAAATTACAAACTTGATTTCAAGCCTAGAATGATTATTCTATAGCCATAATAATTTATTTCTCATCTCAAATAATCATTAAATATCAACAAATCAATTTATATTTTCAAATTTAACCAAAAATCTACCCATAGAGATCTAGGAATAAACTTAAATGCCTCAAATTCTAATTCTATTAACAAAATAATACTCTAGAATATTTATTACACTACCAACAACCTCAACAACCAGATTTTCTCATCAAAAATTCATCCCTCTTTCAAACCCTAAATTTTTCAAAATCTTAAAATCTGCAGCTCAAAGGGAAAAACGACTAAGAAAAACGTTTAGAACACTTACCTAGTCTTAAAATACTTAAAATCTCATTTGAAGTATTCCATTATGAAGCATCACCTTCTAAATCAGCTCCTACCACCGCAGCGTCGATCGTGTTCTCTCGCTCGCTCTCTGTTCGCACCAGACGCAGATGAAGAAAGAAGGAAGAGAAATAGATGAAATAAGGCAAAGTGTGTTTTTTTTAAAACAAGCATGGGTCCCACGACCTTTATTCTCTTTCTTTTGTCTTCTTCAATTGCACACCTGTGAATTCTTCTTCCCTTTTCTCGTTTCATTTTTTTTAATTTATTTAATATTCCTTCTTTCTTTTTCTTATTTTTTTATTATTATATATGTTATGATTGCATGGAGAGCACCGAAAGCATAGCCACTTCTTCTTCTTCTTCTTCTCTCTCTTTTTATACATTTTCTTTTCTTTTTTTAATAATAATAATAATAATTTAATATTTTTTAATTAATTAATTAATTATTTTTTTAAATTTTAATTTAGAATTATATCCTAATTAGATTTAACAATCATCTCCTATTAATTTGCTTACCTATAAATATTTTTTTTAAATTTCTATTAACTCAAATTAACTATTAAAATTTAAATTGAGATGTCACATGATAAAGCAATGCTAGAATGATGGTAAGTAGAATGAAAATGTACAGAATTTTAAGAAGAAAACCAACCAATGGAACAGATCTCGAGTAGGTAACATACCTAAAAAACAGAGGTAGCTACTACATAATCTTGAAAACATTGATGCAATAAGAAGGAGAAGAGATTCTAGCTACTAGAAACAAGTTGAAGCTGACCTTTGGAGGGATTATAATAAATTCTTACACAAGAAGAGCTTCTTTGGTACCAATGAATTAGGGTGACAAGAACAATAGGTTTTGTCATGCCACAACCAAAATTAAAAGAAAGAAGAACCAAGTTGAAGCACTAAAAGATAATGATGGGAATTGGATTTTTAAATGGGAGGACATGAAAAAGGTGGCTTTAAGTTACTATAAAGATATTTTTAAAGTATGAAAGATTTTAGGTCGATTTTCTTATGTAATGTAAGCTACAAGATTATTTCAAAAATCATTGCGAATAGGATCAAAGGCTTAATGAACAAACTTGTAAGAGCACACCAATGCAATTTTATAGTTAAGA